AGATGCAGGCTGGAGAAGCCTTAGAATGTTGTAAGTAGAACTTAATGGGCAATTTTTTGGTGGGGAGGTATTGGGATTGAACCCAGGGACTTTATCAGTGAGCTACATTCCCAGCCCCTTTTATTTTTAAATTTTGAGATAGTGCCTCACTAAGTTACTTAAGGCCTTGCTCAGTTGCTGAGGCTAGCAATCCTACTGCCTCAGTCTCCCAAACTGCTGGGATTACAGGCACGGACCAACTCACCCAGCTTAATGGGCAATTCTTGTGGAAGCTCAGAAGACCAGAATGCCAATAGGACTGTAGATGGTAAACAATGGGCTCACAACGTTTCAGAGGAGAAGGAGGACTCTATTGGAAATTGGACTAGAGGCCATTTATGTTACCTTTTGGCAAAGAACTTTCTACTTTTTGCCTATGTCCTGAGACTTTATGTGAGACTAAATTTAAAGGTGATGGATTAATTATTCTGGTGGAAGAAATTTAAGGCAGCATAACATTCAGGTGGTGGCATGGATATTGCTGGTAGCTTTTAGTCAAGTTTATTGTGATAGTTAGGAGAGGAAAGCATGGTAGAAAGATTTGGAAGACTTGCAATTTGGCCAGAAAAGTGCATGTAAAACTGGGACCAAAGAAGGTGTGTTTGTTGAGGTGATTACAGTCACTAAAGAGATGCTAAGTACTTTACACAGATGCAGTCAAAGAGGTGGCTTGCGGACATCTTAGGAATTGGCAAGACCATACCCATCACAGGAAAAATTCCTTTAAGAGACTATGGAGGTAACTTGGTAGGAAGTTGTTAACTATGCTTAACTGCCCAGGTACTCAGAGGGCACTGGAGTCATGGTCCCAGGAAGCCTGGCTGTTGTATAAGCTGATGGTAGACCTTGGTGTTGTTGAGATGGTGCTGGTTCTGCAGGAATGCAGGGTGCAAGAGTTACGGAGTTCACAGAGGCTTCCACTGAGATTTTAAAGGAAGGCCTGGGAGGTCAGGCAAGGTGTTAGTGTTCCTGCAGGCAGCCCCTCAAGGAGGAATGTGTGAAGCTGTGAGAAAGGAAGTTGAAGCTGCAGTGGAGAATCCCAAAATTAGGAGATTCCAGTGACATCGAATATATACTGGAGGAAAGTTGCTGAAATCAAGCAGAAGTAAGGCAAGAGTGAGGTCATGTGCATTACAACCAGCAAGAACGTAGGAGCAGGGCAACACAAACCCTCTGGAGAGAATATCACCATGCCACATGACCCAGATGCTGGAAGGAGCTACAAAAGTTGCTTGTCCAGCTGGATTCTGGTCTTGTTTTGGTCCCATCCCTTCTCTGCATGGAATGGAAACATTTACTCAATGCTATTATATATATTGGATACATATGACTTTCCTTTGGCAAGAGTTTGCTGTGAGTCTGAGATGAGATTTTGAACTTGGTCTTTTGGGAATGCTGGAACTGTTAAGACTATTGGGATTCTTGAAATGGACTAAATTTTCTCCTCTGTTGTATCACATCAAAGTCAACATTTTTATAATGATCCTAAGACTACATCATCTGCCCCCTTTTTACTCTTTTTGTTTTTTGGGGGGGGGAGGTGGCATTTAGGGATTGAACCCAGGGGTACCTAACCACTGAGTGACATGTCCAGCCTTTTTTATTTTTTATTTTGAGACAGGGTGTCACTAAGTTGCTGAGGCTGGCCTGGAACTTGTCTCAGCCTCCTGAGTCACTAGGATTACAGGTGTGCTTTACCACACCTGGCCCCTTCTTACCCTTCTGACATTGTATTCAACCACTCTCACTGTCACTGCTATTCTTCCTCAGGGTCTCTGGACTTGCTACTCTCCCTATCTTAATTGTTCCTTCCAGGATATCTGTATACCTCATCTTATCTTCTCTTGTAAGACTTTACTTAAATGTCAACATCTCAACAACACCTTCTCTGATTACCCTGTCTAGAATCGCAACTCTCTTGCTCTCCTACAGACTTCCATCACCCTATTTTTCTACTTATTACTCTCTAAGTGATATATTCCTATCACTCCTGATAGAATGTTTGTTCATTAACTTCAGTATATAGAAGAGTATCTACAACATAGCAAATGCTCAACACATACTTGTTGAATTAAGGAATAATACCACTGAGCCACAACCCCAGCTCTGCTTAAATTCCTTTTGATTCTCTAATCTCCCAGTTAAAGGAAAATAATCTGGGAATTCCCAGTAAAAGGGAACATGTGTACTTAGTTTTGCTCCCTCCTGAAACTGAATATACTAGACTATTAAAATATAGTTTAAAAAATTTGTTTGCAGTGCTGAGTGCATGGTGGAAAAAAAAATTTAAGGTTTTAAACTGACAAGCTAGAAAGTAGGAAAGTTAAAAAAAAAATCAATGACATTTAGTAACTCATGAAGCAGGCTGATTGGTGATTACTGTCAGCAGTCCAGAGAAAGTGGAATCTTAAAGCAGCCAGCGGAAAGCCAGAACTAAAGTGATCTATATTGCAGAAATGCTTAAATGGCCAGGAATTAGAAGGATCAGATACCTCTGGAAATGAAAATAAAAGTGGGAAGAACATTTAAGGAGGAGGATTTCTAGAAGACTAAGAAGTGGATAGTTAAATCTTTTCTCCCATGTCACATCTACTCTGTGCCTTTACAATCTTTGGAGCCTGTGAAACCACATCTCTGGGCTAAGGGTCATCAGGCACCGCTGAATGTGGGCTACAGTACCAAGCATGGAGGAACGTGTGTTTTGAATATTGAGTCCTAAGTCTTCTTACCACAGTTGGCTCCAAGACACTGGCGGCCAGTCTTTTTAGACAGGATATGATAGTTCTTCCCCTGGGGTTTCAGGTCTCAGGCTAGTCCAAGAGGAAGGGTAAATGTAGCAATTCAAGGATTCCTCAAACAATGACCCAGCCATATCAACTCCCAGTGAAACTAAGAGATGATACATCACTATGGTCTGAATGTTTATGTCTCCCTCAATATTCATATGTTGAAAAACTCATTAATGTGATAGTACTAAAAGTTAGGGCATTAGGAGGTGATTAGGTCATGAGGGTGGTGACTTTACAATTTGGATTAGCTCCTTTCTAAAATAGGCATTAGAGAGCTACCTTGCTCCTGCCACCATGTGAGGATACAATAAGAAGGTGCCATCAATGAACCAAAAAGTAGCCTTCACCAGGTACCAAATCTGTGAACATCCTGGTCTTGGACTTCCCTGCCTTCAGAAGAGTGGAAAATAATTTTTTTTTTGCTTATGATCTAGCCAGTTTATGGTATATTGTTATAGCAACTACAACAGTTTAAAATATATATATTGAATATATATATATATTAAATCCACTTTATATATATATATATATATATATATATATATATATATATATTCAATCAATTTTTAAATATGAACAAACAAGCAATGTAGTACCAGAAAACTGGAGAAATCCTCTGGCAGAAATATAAAAATGAAAATGAATAAACACAAGAAAGAAAATTTGAGGAAAAAAAACTTCAAAAACAAGATATAACATCCATAAAATATGATGCTATATAAAAATGACTTTCAGATTACAAAGTATTCTTTGAAAGTAAAATGTTGGTATATTAATGAAAAATTCAGAAGAGTTGGAAGATGCAGTTGAGGATATCTTCCACACGGTAGTGCAAAAAGACCAAAAACTAGCTGGGTATGGTGGGCACACCTGTAATCCCAGTTATTAGGGAGGATAAGACAGGAGAATGGCAAGTTTGGGGCCAGCAGGGCAATTTAGTGAGAACTTGACTCAATAAAAAATAAAAAGGGCTGAGGGGCTGGGATTGTGACTCAGCGGTAGAGTACTTGCCTAGCATGTGCCAGGCCCTGGGTTCAATCCTCAGCACCACATAAGAATATATAAATAAAATAAAGATATTGTGTCCAACTACTACTAAAAAATAAATATTAAAAAAGGGCTGAGGATGTAGCTTGGTAGTAGAGTGTCCCTGGATTCAAAGCTCAATACTGAAGGCGAGTGGTAGGTGGACCAAGAGCTACTAAACAAGAGAGAGAAGGAGAAACAAAAATCTAGAAAACTAGTTCAAAAAGTCTAACCTCTAGAAACATCGAGGCCATCCAGACATAGAGAAATAAGAAAACTATTGAGAAGGCATTAAGAAGATAAGAAAAATTCCCCAAACTGAAGCCCATGAGTTTCTATAGAAAGAGCTCCCTGAGTGCATAGTACAAGGGATGAAAAAGACCTAGATTCTGGCACATTACTACAAAATTTCAGAACACTGGAGACAGAGAAGAGCCCAAGTACTTCCCACAAACTTCCAATAAGAATGAAAGAGATCTTATACATGGATCAAGAATCAGAATAGCAAGAGTGGAAGACAGAAAACAATGGAGAAATGGCCTCAAAATTCAGAAAGGAAATTCCTCCCGGCTAGGAATTCTGTACAAGGTATGTATATAAAAAAGGGGAAAAGACATTTCAGACATGCAAGTTCTCAAAAAAATTTTTCCATGGGTCCTTCCTGAAGAAGTTACTGACTATCACATACTATCAAAACAGGAGATCTGTACCGAAAAGGAGAGAAAGAGTTCTCCTTTATCAAGGGAGATCCTAAGATGATAGCTATGCAACAAGTCTAATGTGGTCCTGAGACAGAAATCTTTAGGAAGATGAAATTGATAGAAGAATTTATGCAAATTTAAACAACTGTTAGAGTTTATTTTCATTATGAATTACAAAATAAAGTCACATATAAAAAATATTAAGTTGAGGGATAGTTCACACGTTTTGAAGAAAAGTTATCATAGTTAACTATGTTGTTTCATTCTGAAAGCACATATGGTCATAATTATATAAACAATACATTTATATAACCAAAATTATATCACTACATGGTAATGATAAGAATGAGAGCTGCTTGCGTGTATGTGTGTTTAGGTGTTCTGGGGGTAAGGAATGACAATTGTGTTTACAACTAAAACAATATAAATAGCAATTTAAGCATACCCTTTGCAGTGTGGAGGTCCTTATGAAGGGCATCATCTAGAGTCGAAAGTAGATGTCTTTGCAGACAGGAAAATGATCGGTAGAAAGATGAGGACTGTTGTTTGTTTTTATATATCCTATAGAAGTTGCTGACCTTTAAGAAATGAGAACAGAAATTTAACTGATAATCTTTTTTTTTTCTTCTGATTCATTCTACTGTCTTTCTTTTTTTTTTTTAATTTTTTATTGTTGGTTGTTCAAAACATTACAAATTTCTTGACATATCATATTCCACACTTTGATTCAAGTGGGTTATGAACTCCCACCTTCACCCCATACACAGATTGCAGAATCACATCAGTTACACATCCATTGATTTACATATTGCCATACTAGTGTCTGTTGTGCTCCGCTGCCTTTCCCATCCTCCACCCTCCCCCCTCCCCACCTCTCCCCTCCCCTCCCCTCCTCTCTCTCTACCCCCTCCACTGTATAACCCTGAGGGTCTCCTTCCATTTCCATGCAATTTCCCTTCTCTCCCCCTTTCCCTCCCACCTCTCATCCCTGTTAAATGTTAATCTTCTTCTCCTGCTCTTCGTCCCTACTCTGATCTTAGTTACTCTCCTTATATCAAAGAAGACATTTGGCATTTGTTTTTTAGGGATTGGCTAGCTTCACTTTTAACTGATAATCATAATATTTCAGAGGCATTATTTAGGATACTTCAGTAGGTGGTCTTGTTTCTTGTTTGTTGGTTTGTTTTACCATGCCTGGTACATAATAAGGACTCTTATTGTTTTTTTGAATTCAGTCCTTTGAAATAACCCATTACTAGTCAGTAAGATCCTTGAAATCACAGATTATTTCTTATAAATCTTTATATTTCTTTATATAAATCCAAATTACAGTTTGCATTGTACTTATATTAATGTGTAGATTTTGCCTATGTCTTAAGGACTAAGCCAAATTCTTTTAAAATCTTAGTTAATGTATAAATAATCATGTTATGGTTTGGATGTGAGGTGTCCCCCCAAAACCCAAGTGTGAGACAATGCAAGAAGGTTTGGAGGAGAAATGATTGGGTCAGAGCTTTAACCTAATCAGTGAATTAATCCCTAATGGAATTAACTGAGTGGTAACTGGAGGCAGTGGGGGTGTGGCTAGAGAAAATGGCTCATTGTGGGCATGGCTATGAGGTATATATTTTGTATCTGGAGAGTGGACTTTCTCTCTCTCCCCTTCCTGATCATCGTGTGAGCAGGTTCCCTCAGCTACACTCTTCCACCATGATGGGTAGCCTCACCTGGAGCCCCTGGAGAATGAAGCTGGCTATATATGGACTGAGACCTCTGAAACTGTAAGCCCTCAAATAAACTTTTTCTCCTCTACAATTGTTCTGGTCACGTCCTTAACAGCAAAAAAGCTGACTAAAGGGGCTGGGGATGTGGCTCAAGCGGTGAGCGGCCCGGGTTCGATCCTCAGCACCACATACAAACAAAGATGTCGTGTCCGCCGAAAACTAAAAAATAAATATTAAAATTCTCTCTCTCTCAAAAAAAAAATAATAATAATAAAAAGCTGACTAAAACAAATCCTGAGTGAAATATCCCACTTTACTAATAAATTCTATTTTTGGTGCTGTGACTCTAAATGCCTCTCCCAATCAATTATACAAAGCTGTGGTCTGAATGTTATCTCCTACCAAATTCAGGTGTTGCCAATGTGGTGGTGTTGGGAGAAGAAGGCTCTTCTCTCATGGGAGAGGGACTGGGTGACCTTGTATTACATTCTCTAAGAAAGGAATCCAAACAATTGCCAAGGTCAGCCAGAAAACTAGGCAGTACCACCTCTTCAGATCATTTGCCCTCATTCAAACTTCTGTGATAAATACATGCAGAGTAGGTGTGAGGATCGTCAGAAGGGGTTAGCCCACTTCACACAACAGGCAGTGCATTTGCCTGCAACTGAGGTGTTGATGGATAAAAGACAAAAACTGATGTGTAAATCCGACTTTCACTGTTGAAAGAGGATTAAAAATAGAAAGGAATTCTATTTAGGTTCAGACAGTGAAAGTTGAGAAACAGAAAAAAACTTGTGTAAAAGAATAGGCTTGAGATAGTTCTTTTTCTCTACTCAAGAGCCCAAATTATGGCACTGCCAAAAGAAGCATCCTGCCTGTCTGCTTGTATTTCTGGTGTCTTGATTAATTGCACGGCTGTCCGCATCAGCAGTTTTTAATCTATAAATTCACAGCTCCAGAGAGTTAGTATGAGATTATCCAGACACTATTTAAAGGGCTGGAGATCAAAAAAACAAAGAAGCCACTTCATAGGCAGGTATTTGAGTACTTTTCTGGTCCTTAGGAACTTGGTAATTTCACAAAATAGGTGTGGTGTATTTGCCAAGCAAATCTCTCTCAACACATTCCCCTCCTCTTCATTTGTTCCCTCTCACTGTAAATGGGGCTTATATTCTATGCTTTCAGTAATGGACACTTATTTTAAATAGAACAATTCTACTATTTTCTACTGGCTGCACTAATGGTTGTCTCCTATATGGAATCTTGAACATCTTAGGTTTAAAACAAACAAACAAACAAAAAAAAACACCCTCAGAAGAGACTTCCTACAACTCAAGGGACTGTAAATATAATTAAGAAAACTTCTGAAAGAATGGAGTCCTGGAAATAGTAAGTGTAAGAAAGCCATATTAATAATTACCATTTAAAAATCTGCCATACTGCAAACTTAAAAGAACTAATGTATTAGCTTTATAATTTTAAACTGATTTTCAGAGAGATATTTTCTAGATAAAAACAAAGAAAGCATTCTATATTTTTTGTAATAAACGCTAGAAGACATAATTCAATAATTTCACTTCACCTTTCAAATGCTGATACATGCATAATTCAAGATAGCGTAGCTATTATCATTTATAGGTTGAAGAAATTAAGACATGAGAATTTAAGTGATATGGCCAAGCCCTTAAACTGTATCATGAAAGGCAAAACCAGGCTTCTTGCTCCAGTGTTTTATTCTTTACCATCAGTAAAATTTGTATCTTTAATTATTGACATTTCCATTTTATATTTCAGTATATGAAGATAAAAAACAAAACAAAAACCTTCATGGGTTTATTGACGTTCACTCTGTAAGAGAAATGAATAGGTAAGAAAAATAAACACACACCCTGATTTGAAATCCTTTGCTCAATTACTTGGCCACAATAAATGCAAGAGCGAAGACTGAAGAGTCGTGCAGAGCACACTGTCCATTACTGCACTTCTTAAAGTTTGTTCCAGATAAAAGGTTTCCATTAAAATCCATTTCTTCTTGGCAAACATGGTCGCCTTTGTATAACTATTTTCTCCTTGAGAAGTTTCAGAAACAAATAAGGGGAAAACATTTTTCTGGGCAAATAATGAATATAAAGCAATCAAATATGATGAATAAGGTTTGGAAAAACTACATTTCTTATGACCTAAGTATAAAAGTATTTTCATCATACAGTTATGCAGTATATAACAGGTATAATCTATTATGTGACCAAATAATTATAATAATATAGTAACATTTTGTTAATCAGACATTTGAAAATTAATTTGAAATCAAAGAAACCATAAATATGAGAGAATTAAAAATAACTTGGATCCTATAATGGAGATGGATCATTATTTGGGCCACCTGAACCGCTTCCCTATATTTAGAGTATTCCTTACCATATAAATCTTGGTGGCAAGCAAGGACTGTCTACCCTTCTCTTTGCCTCCCTTGCATCCCCCACCTTTTCCATTTCCCCTTAGTGGTAGTAGAGGTTACTGCAAGCTTGAGTTTCAGCATAGAAATGGCCAAAGGTTAAATTTTGGGTCTAGTTTGAGGTCTGCAGTGCCAGCTGTAGGGTGACCACTTTGTCAGTCACATTTTGCCCAGCATGTTCTAGGTTTTAGCAAGGAAGGATGCAAATGTAACCCAGTCCTGGGAAAACCAGAAAAGCTGGTCACATTACCCAATTTTCCTCATCAGATCAGTTCTGAGGGTGCTACTCAGCTTCAAGCTTCATTTTTTTTCAGCTCTTTCAGAAATTCTGTGAGCCATGCAATACCCTTTTATAGAAGTATGACTCAATATCTGTAATGGTTTGAATGTTCATGCTCCCAACCCCTGATTCTGTTTTTTTTTTTTTTTTGTTTGTTTGTTTGTTTGTCTGTAGTACTGGGGATTGAACCCAGGGTTGCTCTACTGCTGAGCTACATCCTCAGCCCTTCTTTTATTTTTTATTTTGAGAGAGGGTCTTGCTAAGTTGCACAGGCTAGCTGGGAACTTGTGATGGTTCTGCCTCAGCTTCCCTTTTAATTATCCTTATAATCAATTAGTATTCTGCCTTAATCAGGAGATTTCTCTATTATTCCTCCCAAGACCTTTGACTGAAGTAGAAACCTTTGTGTGAAAGCAGTATGGAAACCCATGCTTCACAATTACCCAATGAGACACATTGGCATAATTCAGATTATATAGTTATAATAGACTCTCTTTGATGTTAGTGAACATGTCAGCATTTTAAAAAGTTCTGAAAAAAATCATGAATAATGATTGTTCTTGCTGTATTTTTGAAATTCTGAGACATTTCTGATGGTTGAGACTAATATTTTCTTGGTGATGAGATAAACAAACATTGACAGAATATAAAAATCATTTAAAAATAAAGCTGTCGGGGCTGGGGATGTGGCTCAAGCGGTAGCACGCTCGTCTGGCATGCGTGCGGCCCGGGTTCGATCCTCAGCACCACATTCCAACAAAAGATGTTGTGTCTGCCGATAACTTAAAAAAATAAATAAATATTTAAAAAAAAAAAAATAAAAAATAAAGCTGTTGACAGAAAATCTTTGATTTTTCCCATCCCATCCCATAAAATGCTTATTTCTCAAGATGAAGAACTGTTAAGTCAAAAAAAAAAAAAAAATGGAAGTGGTGGCATAAAAAACAAGAACCATTCAATTCTTGGTCTTTGGAGCACAGATAAGAATTCTTTGTTTTTCCTGGTCATTATGTAATCCTCCTGAACACACCCACCTCTGACCAATTCACTCTCATGACACCTTCATATTCGTGGACTTTGATTTTTCTGTATTTCGGAGAGAAGACCTTCGATAAAGACATATAATCCTGTTCATAAAATCATTACTAAAATTTATATAAATAATGCATCTTTATTAAAGAGAAACAAAAAATACAAGAACACAGATAGAAACAAGCTTCCATTAATTCTTCCATTGCTAACATTTTGATATTCTTTCTACAAACATTCATATCTGTAGTTATAATTGTGTAACTATTATAAATATTCGGGGTCTATACTATTTCATATCCATACTATTTCAGGGTCTGCTTTATCAGTAGTACTTTATCAGTAGTGAATTTCTTTGCAGATAGATATAATTTTTTTTTTACTTTTAACATGTATGTAATGTAATGTATACAAGTATCACAACATGTCAGCAATGAATTTTGTTGGATATTTTTAGCTTTTGTAAAGAATATTGTTAGAAGTTCTATATCACTGAACATTTTTCCAATTATTTCCCAAGATAAATACTAGAAGAGGAACTTTTGCACCAGCAAGAGTACTCATTTTTTTTTTTTTTTAGTTGTAGATGGACACAATACCTTTATTTTATTTCTTATGTGGTGCTGAGGATTGAACCCAGGGCCTCGCACATGCTAGGCGAGCACTCTACTGCTGAGCCACAACCCCAGCCCAAGAGTACTCATTTTTAAAAAATTTTCTTTTCGGCTGGGTTGTGGCTCAGTGGCAGAGCGCTTGCCTAGCAACTGAGGTACTGTGTTCGATTCTCAGCACCACATAAGAAATAAATGAATAAATAATGGTCCATTAAAATCTAAAAAAGAATTTACAAAATTTTTTTAGTTGTAGATGGACAAAAACTTTACGTTGTTTATTTATCTTATGTGATGCTGAGGATGGAACCCAGTGCCTCACACGTGGGAGGCAAGCGCTTTACCACTGAGCCACAACCCCAGTCCCAAGTGTGCTCATTTTTGATGCTTATCTTTTGTCAAATTGCCTTCCAGGAAATTTGTGTCTTTTTACAATTCCACTGATGACCTACAAGACTATGTCCACCCTCAACAACATTTGAGTATTATCATTCTTTTAATCTGCATAGACAGATATATCTCATTGTTTTATTGATTACTAGTGAGGCTAAACATTTTAACATATATTTTGGCCTTATATTTCTTCTTTTGTGAATTATCTGCTCCTATTAAGTGCCCATTTTTCTTCAGTGTGGATATATGTGATTAGCCACATCATTTTGTGTTGAAATGGAGAGAAGCAAACTCAAAATCTGAAAGTAATTACCACCCTCATCAAGAACGACCACTACTTGCTTTGTTGTCATCACCTAGCTCTTTGGGTTTTATAAATTATTTCCTCTCTGAAGTTTCTAGCTGATTTCCACTCTTTTATTCCCTTTTCAGGAAGTCCTGATTTTCAAAATTTATTTTCTTTTATCCCCAAAATTAAGATTCTCTGATTCAACTACTTATTTTAAATGTGGATGCCTTGGAATTTATAACTTGTATAGGAAGGAATTAAGCAGGCAGTTCCAAAATACCATTTAATCAGTTTTCTCTTGAGGTTAAAAGTATTATTGTCCTTTTAAAAACTACATCTTTCGGTGTTTTCTTCTATTTATAGAACATATAACCTATTGCAATAGTTATGATAATGGCACTTGTCACAAGGTGGGAGATTAGAGGAAGTGTAATCAGTTATCTCTGGTAGCAGTATTTGCTGGTTATTTCCTAACTGCTGTTTTTCTGCTGACCTTTATGTCCCATATTACCTGAAAATACATCATCACCCACTTCTACAGCCCATTTATGGGGTGTTGCTGGAGGACATTAATATCAGTCACACCAGAGAGGAGAGAGAAGCTCTTCAGGGGTTTTGTTTGTGCCCATATTTTCACTCTATTTTTAGCTCTCTGCATTGAATGACAATGACATTGAACATTCATTTAATCTCTGTGCACTCCGTTGCCCTTTCCTGGTCTCATTTGCTCACACCTCAGAACCTTTTCCCCAGCTACACCTTATGCTTCGAGTGACCATATGCTCTCTATTTTTCTGGAGAGTCTCAATTTCAGATATTCTGTCCTGTTGCCAAATCAGATGCCAGACCATATGCTTTGTATTTTCTTTGGGGGAAATATATTAATTTACCTCTGCTTCAGTTCCCTAAACTCTGTTCATGAAGATTTCTGTTGCTTTTGCTAGATAGTTCATGAAAATTTTTATTAGTTTTTTTAAAACGCAGCTCAGATGTCTTCTTCCTGGGAAGTCTTCCTCCACAGCCTCCTCCCTAAACACTGCCCCCGCCCACTGGATTGCCTGCCTTAGTATGTTTATTTGGTGAAAGTGAAAGGTGAAAGGGGTTGCCCCCATCCCATCCCTTATGAGTTTACTCATCTGTGCTCTGCTGCTCAGGAGGGCGTTCTTTGCTCAGTTAGAGGACACCTGCATTTTTCTGCTACTAATGGTTTGAATCATAGACTGTAGAAGGCATCTTCTTCCTTCTCCTGGTAGTTGATGGATCTGAATGTCCCCAAGAGCAATTTCTCCATCTTGCACATTTCAATCCAGAATAACATCACAGGGAAGTTATGAAATTCTAGGTTGATTTTCCACTCTAAGTCCGGTTGCATAGTTTAGAGTCAAGAGGGAAAGCTCCGGTACTCTAAGAATCTGGGACACAATCATTGGATCAGACACACGTGCACACATAGAACTTCCAAGGACAAACATCAATTTTCAGAGCAGGAACATTAAGGAGGAAAAGAAATATTTTTCTATTTTATATAACACAGCCCTGGCTTGCCACAGAGTTAGAACTTTATAACACAGGATATTAAGTTTTTAATTCATCCTTCCCTCTCCTCTTCTGCTTTTAAGTAGAGATCTCTAGGCCAACCAGAAATAAGAAAATGGACAAATTGCAGAGTTTAATTTCCTCCTAATGGATGAAAATATAGTGTACACTGTGGCTCTTCTCTGCAGACAAAGATACACCTAGTCAACTCACAAAGTATTTTACATAGTTTCAAGGCTCCATGGACATCTCTAGAAGATTCGTGCATTTCAGAATGCTTCTCATCATATATAAATATTTTTTTACACTGTGTACAACCAGATAAATGAAAAGTTGTGCTTCTTGTCATATTATTTGTACTAGGTACTGGAGAAGCAGACATTAATCAAAGAATCACACAGACAAATGTGAAGTTACTATTTGTGATTTTAGGTCCATTACAGGTTAGTTGCCTTCAGCAGAGAGATCTCTGGGGA